TCTCAACTCGGGTATTTGCTTGAAATATTAACTTCAACTCCTGGAACATCTCATATGGTCCATGACGTTCAAAACGTCTTTTGAAGTCCCGATTCTAAGCCGTTAAGCATGATGCACTAAACTATTAAGTAGTCATCATATTGAGCTAGTCAAACGTTCATAACGTCTGCATCTGCTCCTGCAATAGGTCTGTCACCTAGCGGTGCATCAAGGACATAATTCTTCTGTGCAGCAATGAGGATAAACCTCAGATCACGGATCCAATCCGCATCATTGCTACTAACATCTTTCAACACAATTTTCTCTAGGAACATATCAAAATAAACACAGGGAAGCAACAATGTGAGCTATTGATCTACAACATGATTTGCAAAATACTACCAGGACTAAGTTCATGATAAATTTAAGTTCAATTAATCATATTACTTAAGAACTCCCACTTAGATAGACATCCCTCTAATCCTCTAAGTGATCACGTGATCCAAATCAACTAAACCATGTCCGATCATCACGTGAGATGGAGTAGTTTCATTGGTGAACATCACTATGTTGATCATATCTACTATATGATTCACAATCGACCTTTCGGTCTCCGTGTTCCGAGGCCATATCTGTATATGCTTGGCTCGTCAAGTATAACCTGAGTATTCCGCGTGTGCAACTGTTTTGCACCCGTTGTATTTGAACGTAGAGCCTATCACACCCGATCATCACATGGTGTCTCAGCACGAAGAACTTTCGCAATGGTGCATACTCAGGGAGAACACTTCTTGATAATTAGTGAGAGATCATCTTATAATGCTACCGTCAATCAAAGCAAGATAAGATGCATAAAAGATAAACATCACATGCAATCAATATAAATGATATGATATGGCCATCATCATCTTGTGCTTGTGATCTCCATCTTCGAAGCACCGTCGTGATCACCATCGTCACCGGCGCGACACCTTGATCACCATCGTAGCATCGTTGTCGTCTCGCCAATCTTATGCTTCCACGACTATCGCTACCGCTTAGTGATAAAGTAAAGCATTACAGCGCGATTGCATTGCATACAATAAAGCGACAACCATATGGCTCCTGCCAGTTGCCGATAACTTGGTTACAAAACATGATCATCTCATACAATAAAATTTAAGCATCATGTCTTGACCATATCACATCACAACATGCCCTGCAAAAACAAGTTAGACGTCCTCTACTTTGTTTGTTACAAGTTTTACATGGCTGCTACGGGCTTAAGCAAGAACCAATCTTACCTATGCATCAAAACCACAACGATAGTTTGTCAAGTTGGTGCTGTTTTAACCTTCGCAAGGACCGGGCGTAGCCACACTCGGTTCAACTAAAGTTGGAGAAACTGACACCCGCCAGCCACTAGTGTGCAAAGCACGGCGGTAGAACCAGTCTCGCGTAAGCGTACGCGTAATGTCGGTCCGGGCCGCTTCATCCAACAATACCGCCGAACCAAAGTATGACATGCTGGTAAGCAGTATGACTTATATCGCCCACAACTCACTTGTGTTCTACTCGTGCATATAACATCAACACATAAAACCTAGGCTCGGATGCCACTGTTGGGTTACGTAGTAATTTCAAAAAAATTCCTACGCACATGCAAGATCATGGTGATGCATAGCAACGAGAGGGGAGAGTGTGATCTACGTACCCTTGTAGATCGACAACGGAAGCGTTAGCACAACGTGGTTGATGTAGTCGTACGTCTTCACGGCCCGACCGATCAAGCACCGAAACTACGGCACCTCCGAGTTCTAGCACACGTTCAGCTCGATGACGATCCCCGGACTCTGATCCAGCAAAGTGTCAGGGAAGAGTTCCGTCAGCACGACGGCATGGTGACGATCTTGATGTTCAACCGTCGCAGGGCTTAGCCTAAGCACCGCTACAATATGACCGAGGTAGAATATGGTGGAGGGGGGCACCGCACACGGCTAAGGAACGATCACGAAGATCAACTTGTGTCTCTAGGGGTGCTCCCTGCCTCCGTATATAAAGGATCAAAGGGGGGGTGCGGCCGGCCAGGAGAGGGCGCGCCAGGAGGAGTCCTACTCCCTCCGGCAGTAGGATTCCCCCCCCCTTTCCTAGTTGGAATAGGATTCGGGAGGGGGGAAAGAGGAGAGAGAGAAGGAAGGGGGGCGCCGGCCCCCTCTCCTTGTCCTATTCGGACTAGGGGGGAGGGGCGCATGGCCCAGCCCTGGCCACCTCTCCTCTCTTCCACTAAGGCCCACTAAGGCCCATATACCTCCCGGGGGGTTCCGGTAACCTCCCGATACTCCGGTAAAATCCCGATTTCACCCGGAACACTTCTGATATCCAAATATAGGCTTCCAATATATCAATCTTTATGTCTCGACCATTTCGAGACTCCTCGTCATGTCCGTGATCACATCCGGGACTCCGAACAAACTTAGGTACATCAAAATGCATAAACTCATAATATAACTGCCATCGAAACCTTAAGCGTGTGGACCCTACGGGTTCGAGAACAATGTAGACATGACTGAGACATGTCTCCGGTCAATAACCAATAGCGGAACCTGGATGCTCATATTGGCTCCTACATATTCTACGAAGATCTTTTATCGGTCAGACCGCATAACAACATATGTTGTTCCCTTTGTCATCTGTATGTTACTTGCCCGAGATTCGATCGTCGGTATCTCAATACCTAGTTCAATCTCGTTACTGGCAAGTCTCTTTACTCGTTCCGTAATACATCATCTCACAACTAACTCATTAGTTGCAATGCTTGCAAGGCTTATGTGATGTGCATTACCGAGAGGGCCCAGAGATACCTCTCCGACAATCGGAGTGACAAATCCTAATCTCGAAATACGCCAACCCAACATGTACCTTTGGAGACACCTATAGAGCACCTTTATAATCACCCAGTTATGTTGTGATGTTTGGTAGCACACAAAGTGTTCCTCCGGCAAACGGGAGTTGCATAATCTCATAGTCATAGGAACATGTATAAGTCATGAAGAAAGCAATAGCAACATACTAAACGATCGGGTGCTAAGCTAATGGAATGGGTCATGTCAATCAGATCATTCACCTAATGATGTGATCCCGTTAATCAAATAACAACTCTTTGTCCATGGTTAGGAAACATAACCATCTTTGATTAACGAGCTAGTCTAGTAGAGGCGTACTAGTGACACTCTGTTTGTCTATGTATTCACACATGTATTATGTTTCCGGTTAATACAATTTTAGCATGAATAATAAACATTTATCATGATATAGGAAATAAATAATAACTTCATTATTGCCTCTAGGGCATATTTCCTTCAGATTCGTCATGGCGATCGTGGGAGGGGAGGGATGGATCGGATATCTGATACCATGTAAAGTGCTTGATTGTTCAGTGTCCTTACAGAATACAGAGAGGAGTACATAAATAGGGGACCGGGCGCAACCGCGGCAGGACGTGGGAGAGACGATCGTGCAACGATCGTGCAATCCAAGTGGGAAGCGAGTCCACGCTGTAAAGTGCTTGATTGTTGAGTGTCCTTACATAATACAGAGAGGAGTACATAAATAGGGGAGCCGGGCGCAACCGCGGCAGGACGTGGTGAGAGACGATCGTGCAACGATCGTGCAATCCAAGTGGGAAGCGAGTCCACGCTCTAACAGAATTGCCTCCGGTCTTGCATACTCCATACTGAATGTCCCAAGTGCATCGTGCATAGAGATATCAAGCCAGGAAATGTAATGCTAGACATGGACTTCAATGCCAAACTGTCTGACTTTGGGCTGGTGACACAAGTCAACCATACCCAAACCTCACGCACAAGGATGAATATAATTGGGAGTCGATCATACATCGGCCCGGCATATATTGAGATCGGAAAGGCATGCAGGCAATCCGACGTCTACAGCTTAGGCGTGATGTTGCTCGAGATTGTCAGCGGTGAAAAACCAACCATACAGACTAATGAGAAGAACAACCTTATTGAGAAGGTCTTGAAATGTCAAGCGAACAATACAATTCTCGATGCAGCTGACAAAGGGCTGAGGGGCCAATTTGACGGGGGACTCAAAAGTGTGTTGGAGATCGGGCTCATGTGTGTGCGCCGTCCACACATCGGAAGAGTGAGTGATTTCTTGATGCAACTGCTACTTTCAGTGTCCACTTCAAACCCCACCATCCCTTCCAGAGCAAATGGGAGGGGACCAACTAGCTCCAACACGTACCCTGCACATTCACCGGCTGATGAAGAAGCCGGTGATTCACCACTTCTAGTCTAGCCTCGATATGAGGTACCCCCTCCAACGAAGGCCTGCCAAATGAAGTTCGTAATTTTCAAAGAAAATGAATGAAGTGAGGTTCACCATGGAAGATACTTCCCCACTCTTGTTAACTATATGATGCATCCGTCCATTCACCCATCATGTATGCATGTAGTATTACCTCTTTCTTTATGTGTGGTACAGTAACAAACATATATATGATGTGAAAATGTATTCAATGATGAATCCAATAGTGTTGATTTGGTATTATAGATGTTGATGATTTTTTCTATACTTTGTTTTAAAATTTATGTAGTTCAACTTAAGACACAATACTAATATGCAAAGTAAATCCGTAAAAAAAACATGCTAAGTAAATTGAAACGGCCGGGTGCGAAAAATATCCATTTTCAAATCCTACCGATTTCACTAACCAAACCAAGGAAGCAGCGCACCGGATTTGCGCTGGCAATGTCTTTGATACATGTGCAAAATCGTCGTTAAAGCAATTTGTGTATGCATACAATACATACATACAACGAAACAAACGCAGCATACATATTGCAGCCAGGACTTCGCGTATGCAGAGCATTCGCATCCAATCCAATATTACAGCAAAACCAGTAGGAGTACATCACCAAATCAAGAAACATGGCACCATTTCCTCACCGGAGGACAACACTTCACCGGTCCCCAGATCGGCCGATCGATCGACGCATCAGATCAGAGAAGCTCGCCGATCACTTGTTGTTCATGAGCACCTTGACGAGCTCCTTGCACTGGACGCGGCCCTCGCCGCGGGGGTCGGCCTTGCGGACCAGCTCGTCGGCCTCCTCCTCCGTGAGCCGGTCGCCGTGGGTGAGCATCACCTGCCGCAGCTGCTCCGCGGGGATGACGCCGCTCCCGTCGTCGTCGAACGCGTCGAGGCACTGGGCCAGTCCCTTGGCCGATACGCCGGCGTTGGCCTTGCGCGCGGCCACGGCCAGGAACGTGGGGAGGTCGATGGCGACGGCGCCGGCGCCGCCCGCGCCGGCGTCCTCGAGGAAGCCCCGCGCCTCGGCCTCGTCCACGTTCTGGCCCAGCGAGCGGAGCGCCGTGACCAGCTCGCCGGCGGCGATGCGGCCGTCCTCGTCGCCGTCGAACAGGTCGAACACCTCCTTGCACTCGTCCGCCTGCTCCTGGGTCAGCTTGGCCGCCATGGCGGGCAGAGACCAGAGAGAGCCGAGCTGCTGGAGGGAGAGGGAAAGAAATGGACTGATTGATTGCCCTAATTGCTGTCCGGGCTGCTCGTCACGATGAAGCAACTTTAGCGAAGGTCGCTTTTCTTTCCTTTTGACAGGTCAAAAATCAAGAGAGATCGTAAGCAATGACAACTTTCCCTCTCTCGTTATTCTCCGAAGCAAATCGCTGCACATGACAGATGACACCAAGTTGAACTCTGCCAATTTTGGCATTTTTATGGTGAAGATGTTTTTTTCAAAACGGAAAAAGATGTATTATGATAAAAATATCAACGGCTTATGCTTTGATGAAAACAACGGACAGGTTGAAAAGGGAAAAGGAATAGTTCAACGAGCTGGCGCCAACCAACTATGTACCCAACAATTGATCATCATAGCATAGCATGATTACCACTTCCATGCCATATTGTTGGCACACAAGAGCGACGTGCCATCCACCACATTTGGTTTCGTTCAATCATAAGATGGTACAAGTTGCAAAACACCAGAGAGTACAGCGGGGAATCGCGGCGCCAGGAGCTGGATCTCGAGCTAACCAGGCCCCATCATATGGATCCCTGTTTAGATTCCGACAAATGCAGCTGTTGGTTTTGCTGTCGACTTGAGTTCTGTTCCGTCGTCCAACAACTGTACAAGACAATTTGCACCAGCGCAGTTCAGAAATCACAGCTACCACCGAAGTTCCAGAAGGTCCAAGCATGCCAAATGGAATCCATACAATGTACTCCGGCCAGCATTTTGGAGCTGAACACAAACCAAGCAGACACGCAAACTGCAGCGCAAAAACCGAGATTTGCACAACGCCCCTAAATTCCATGATAAGACGAACAAGATAAGTGCCACAACCAAAAGAAACCAGGTAGTAATTCCGATGCTGCTCCCCCAAGACTACACCGCTACAAGATAGATAACCCGACCAACTACCCAACAGGCAACAGTATCCTTAAAAAACATAGCACAAAATACAACCACGCGAGTCTGTCTGGCATTCCAATCCACTTGAATTTTAAGCTTATTTCGTGGGAGGGAAGACCCCTGTCCCGCCGCCACCTCACTTGGCCATCATGACCTTGACGAACTCCTCGTAGTTGATCTGGCCGTCGCCGTCCACGTCCGCCTCCCGGATCATCTCGTCCACCTCCTCGTCCGTCAGCTTCTCCCCGAGGTTGGTCATCACGTGGCGCAGCTCCGCCGCCGAGATGAAGCCGTTCTGGTCCTTGTCGAACACGCGGAACGCCTCCTTGAGCTCCTCCTCCGAGTCCGTGTCCTTCATCTTCCTCGCCATCAGGTTCAGGAACTCGGGGAAGTCGATGGTGCCGTTGCCGTCCGCGTCAACCTCGTTGATCATGTCCTGCAGCTCCGCCTCCGTGGGGTTCTGCCCGAGGGACCGCATCACGGTTCCAAGCTCCTTGGTGGTGATGCAACCTGCACAAAATTCAGCAAGCATTCGTTATCTAGCGCTACGAAATAAAATAAGAGCAAGTTTACTAGGGATTTAAGATTGGTCTGTTCGCCGCATATAAAATACCCAATGTGTTCTTGTTGTCCTAACAACACATGATATGTCATAATACCTCCAATCAGCATGTTGGCCACTTACACGCACCTATATATTGTTACTATAAGGAGCTGCAAGTTGGAACAGCTGGGAATCGTAAACAAACATGGCTTTAAACAAGCACTGTATTGCAGGATAAGCAGTACGGATTAAATATTATAGGCCGGCTGGGTAACATGAAGGGAACAATAAGATAGGTTAACTTGCCAGACGCTTTCCTATAGTGTCGCTGACGTTCATTTCAACATACTGAATTCTAGAAATCAATTTATGAATCATGCATCAGCTGAAGAAATGATGGACCGCCAGGCAGAAGCCTTAAGAAAGCAGTGCTTAGGTTTAGCATCAACTTGGATTGCATCCTATCAAGTAAATAAAATGTAGTTCTTGCTGCCCATTTAACATATGAAATCAAAAGTCAACCTTACAATTCTACAAGTCATCATGTGTACAATTAGATATGACACAGATCACAGACTAGACCAACTTGCATCTAAAGCCGTGCTGAAACATAGTCCTTCAATGTAGCACAAGCAAGGAAATAACATAAATGATGCAGAAATGAGCTATGACACTACTAGAAAAGAGGAATCTACAAATCAAGTGTTGGTCTTAGACTACACAGTTAAGACTAGATCTCCAACTTCCAGGCTACCAGAAGCTAGATCATGCTGCTACTGTCACCAAAAAGTCTCTTCAGTGTCGCGTTATAAAAGGAGAGCTAAACAGGATGAGAAATCCTGACTAAATCCTTGGCATCATCTACTACGGTACTCCAATTCACCATCTAGTCCACTCGTTGCTGCGTTCCACACTATAATTGTAACAAAACAGATGCTCATTGGCCTAGATAAGTTTACATCAGTGTATGACAACAACCTGATTCTCATCTCTGTCACTAGAAATTCCGAAACACTCTACAGCTCTAAACCCTAGCTCCTAAATGCAACCAGTCGCTGCTGCCCCCGAATTGTTCCTCCCACGGGAGCACCCCCAAGTCCTACAGCCACAAATCGGAACACAGTAACAAGACAACCCGCCCGCACTCGGCCACAGAACAAACAACTGGCCCGAGCAAACGACCCCGTCCATCAGATGCAAGCATCCATCCCGCGCAGGCGCACGCCCAGAGCAACACGAAAGGCCTAAAGAGACCACGCAGCCCAGGCATCACCGACCGGATCTAGAGACAAAACCCAATTCGGCCGGATCGAGGTC